CCCCCCTTGTTGAGGCATTCTTTCCAAAGAAGTCGCGCTGTCTGGAGTCTAGAAACGCAGAATATGGCTGGTCTTACGACACAATCCTGCCTCCCCAGCTGCATACCAAATCAAAGCAACCTCATGACTGGCTTCATGCGCATCGTATGTGTTTGCGGCAGATCAAAAGTCACTACTTGCTGAACCCAAACAGTTCACTTTGAAGGGAAGCCCCAAAGTCGTAATGGGTGGTTCTTGCACGGAAAACGAAACCAGCGGTCCGTAGGGGCCGATGTTAAAAAGGGAAGAATCCGTCGAATAAGATAAAGATAAGGATTTGCTAACTTTGTGCGAGCAACAAGAAACTGGACACTGAGGAAGAGAGTGAAGGCTAGAGAGCACAACGGATCAGAGGGAGCAGATATCAGTGTGCTGCGGGCAAGAGAAAGCGGTCAAGGCGGCCCCTCCGAGACCATGGCACCCTTATTGCGCGCTTTAGAGTCGAAACCGTCAACTGGTCTGCCCGACCCACCAGAGAGAGAGTCCATATGAATTAATGCTGTGCTATGCCTGTAAGTTTAGGACATTCCACCTAAAGGTTAGTCAGAGGTGCCGTTGAATGGTCTATCAGGCACCCACTTATCTGACAAGAAAGCCTTATATCTATAACATTTTGAATGTTAAAATGAATCAGTCAGAGACTCTGTTCCTACTCGAAAACGTAAAGGAATGGGATCCTTGATAGAATACAATGGTGATTTGAAAAGCGACTGATTTTAGGTCAGCACTTTTATCCTACTACACCTTTGAGTACAGTATTGATCGAATAATGAGACTGCAGTATTGGGTGGATCTGGACTAATTTTGATCTTATCAAGCTGAACGTATTATCGCGGTGCTGGGTCTCAAGTTACCACGCCAACTTCTTCACAGATACTTCATTTCAAATCAACCTCTTATATTTCAAATTTGCTAGTTGAAAGTTAGCGCATCGCTAGCCTACAAACTTATTTGATTCAACATGCCATTTTCAACTTTTTCTACCCCCCTTGCGTCGAACACTCCGGATCACCGCAATTTTACGGCGATCACCATTCGTCACAAAATTGTCGTCTAGTCGGGGGCGGAGCCATGAATGATTAAACTAAAATTTATCGACACAGCAGCAAGACGATCAATCACTCAACGCTGACAATTCGGTACCACCGGCCATCGGTCGATTTCAAAATTTAATTTTTCCTCACAATGGCATGAACAACGGGTGGAAGGACAAATCGAAGGAGGTAAGGAGGAGTTTGCTGATTTCCTTACGATGCGCCATGCATTCGAATTCACTCACTAAATGATTATGCTCACACAAAAGGACCAGCCATGTTTACATGCCTCTGCCCCGCCCTATAGCCTGCTTCTGATATGTGGACTCTGCAGGAATGGCTACTTGGTCAATCACGATCTGCTGGTTACAAATGAAAGTAGAATTCAATATTAAAATTTATTAATCTGAACAATATATACATTAATAATAGCAACAATGAGAAGTTATACAATACATCACAGTCGGTCGTCAAAAATCTATCCGTGGTCCGTAATAATGCGTCACGTCCTCGGATTCTACCCGTGTGGTTCACCCGCTCTCCAGTGATGCGGTGCATTGGAATCAATCAGGCAGGATGGAAGTTCAAATAAAGATCAAGCCAGCTATCAGTATCAGGACTAACGCAGTCGATGGACGTGGTGATGACGAGAATAGGCTTTCCACTGAAATTGAAAGTGTTATAGGGATATTGGAATCAATCAATCAATTATTGATTTTTCAGCTAATTGATGTAACTGGTTGGAAAACCAATAATTGATTGAAAAACTGAAGGGTAAGCTGTAAAGATGTTACTCCGTACCGTCTCCAATCTCGTGGATTTGAAAGTCCAGCTCGTCGCCCAATGCCAATGCTTCATACTCATGTCGGCGATTATCACCGTCTAATGAAAGTCGTTCGCCTCGGGTTACTGTAGGCCAAATGGGATTCTCTCCGCGTCCCACCTAGAAATCAACAATATATCATATATCATAAGCATATCAGCAAGGGAGAATTGCTGAAAAGCCAGGAGATTTTAATCAATACTGATCAATAACTGACCTTTTCGAAAAATTCGCCCCATAGTGGATCAGAAGGCCATTGAGGAGCTTCTGTGGTGCTAGTGGTGGCTGGTTTCTTGTGAACTCGATGAATATGCCCTGAATGATCAATAAATCAATAAGTTTTCAAACGCAGAAACGAACCAGTCGATAGAGCTGAATAACAACTTACGGCTGGTGTCGCCATTTTTATCGGTGACGTGTATGACCATTTTCAAGCGATGGACTAGCGCACAGACCTCCGAATTTGTTGTCGAGACCAAACTGCGATCCAGTCGAGGTGGCTGAAGTAATCGATAATTCATTTAGTGATACTCAAAAGCCACAACATTTTCGGAACTGCAGATTTACCGCCTTTTTAGTCAAAAAAATAAAGCGGAAAAGAAATCCCCAGGCGCGTTCTGCTCTTGGCTGACCAGTAGCTCAGGTGGGCTATGATTGGTCAGCCACTGAGTGCCATTCGACGCTTTTATTCGCCGAAAGCCCTTTTGAGGAGATAACAAAATGTTGAAACTCACATATAAAATAGTATGTTTGTCCAGGTCGATAGTCCAGCGCAGAAGGGTTCGGGCTAAGCAGCCGAAACGACACTTTAACTTTGTCGCGTCGGTTTGGAGATATACATCGGCCCAGCTCACGGGCTGTCGATGATAGCGCACACGTCTCATAGTCATGTTCGGATACCTGGAATATTCCAACTAGTTCCGGGGTAAGGTGGGCAGAAGTACGGTGGAGCAGAGACTCACTCTGTAGATGATACTTTGTTCGGTGTCCATTGGATGTCCACCTCGGTTCCGTAGTACGGGCAAATATTTCAACGATCTCCACTCGCCGCATCGCCCAACGCCTGAAAATTTCAGGATGATTGTTGTAAAACACAGCACATAAAAAATATTAAATTATTGCATGAATTTTCCTCGATTGCTGACAATTCAGGGTTCAACCGATCAAAGAAAATCACTAAAAGGGACAAGAAAATGTCAACCAATAATTTCTCCAGGAAATCAATAAATGGCTGCAGCGCCCAGCACCTAGCGTAAATAAATGACACTTCGTCCACGCCCAAATCGAACTACTGTACATTTTCCATCAGCTTTCAAATCAATTAATGATTGTTACAGTTGATAAAATGCATGGCGCATCTCCTGAACTACTCCCGTCTCTAGAACACCTGTTTGAGCTTCGCCCTATTCAAATGCCAGTTCATCTTCGTAGACTTCTCAACTCTATTGTAATCATTAGTATCATCGTAAACAATCCGCTTTGATCTAGCCGCCTGTTGGCCGCTGGCGGAGCCGATTTACAACCAATGTTAAGCGACACGCGCACGCGCGCCGAGTGTGTCATTGGTACCTGTCGTAAATCATCTACGCGCGATCGGCAATTGACCGGTCGGCATTGCTTTACGGTAGCTTATTTACGGTATCTACGGCATTTTTGTTCGTGTTGTGCCTCAGGCAGGCGGCCCATCGCAGAATGTCGCGTGCCGACGTCTTAATTGTATAAACGGGGCATTGGTCGCGTAACGAAGCACCCCACAAATTGGTCATCTTAATGAAATCTGATTACGGCACTCAATTCATAAGTGTTTTCGAGTGAGACACAGAGTGATGCATGCGCTTCGCAAGATGAATTCATCGATGGCCTAATGAGTGTGCTCAACGCGGCCGAACGACAACGACAAGCATTTTTCAAGAGCGCCATTGTTGCCATTGGTTTGACGGATCGAATTATTCAGGAAGATTCAGCGTTGAAATGTTTCAAATATGAGTGATCTGAAGAAAGAAGGGTTTGAATGAACCAAGTCTGTAAGCTATGATCCGAATTCGAATACCATGAGGGCCGAGAGCTTTTTGGGGAGATGAACATATCTGGGAGACTTTGTTGCATTCACCTGGAAGCTAAAGTTTCCCGGGCGAACCGCCAAGGACCCTCACCTCGCCCTAGT